TATCGCTAACATATCAGGCAATGTTTGATTTATGTAACTGCGATTGATGTGACCCTACATTCACATCCATTCAACAATATGAAAGACTAAAGTCCGTATGCACGTACGTCCCCGCTGGGGAGGGGAGCTATATTCCCAGGGGAACGATCCACTCCGCCGAACCCCGCCATGACAGAGGGGAGGGGAGCGATCCCCTCCCCTGCACCTAAGCGGGGATGGTGTGAATGGCTTCAGAGGTATTTATCGAGCGAACAACCAAAGCTAAACTCGAAACTTTTCGAAAATAAAAGCTCGTAGAAAGCCAGAAATTCACGCTTATAGTTTCGAAAGTTTATGATATACACTCACTTATGTGGGAACAGCCCATCGTCACTTTGATGATATATGAGATTTTCGTTTTCACGATTTGTAAGAGAGGAAAAAAATTACAGCACCGGTATGCATAAATGTATGTCGTGGAATGTACTTACGTGAGCGAGCGAGCTAGTAGGTTTTTTTAAACGGATTACGATCGTTTGCCGACTTTTCGAGCATTCGGACCTTTATAGTTTTTGGATTTAAATTTCGTCAGAGTTGTAATTGTTCAAATCTCTACCGAATGGCCTGAGTTTTAACTAATTAACACTGTATGACTTATTGTGTAAAAAGTCTGAGTTTAACAAAGCTTACGCAATGACCTAATCAAACAAATGGATAAATAACTTAATGGAATTACCACAATGTTTATGAGTGACACATCTTGATGAAAGGCAGTTATAATTCTAGACTTTCTTCCTTTATTCTTCATATGATGTGTCTGACTCATGTGATTGCCTTTTTCAAAGACTGTTTGCATTCTGCCACCACTAAAGGACATGCGAGTGATAACTGTCCGTGAACCAAAAGATTTGTAATATCAAGCTGAATTATAGTCGCTAAATTTCCAACAGGGCTTTTCGATGTATCGCAACCGTGTGTAGATTAGCTCAAAACTCCTAAATATCTGTTAATAACAATAAAGTTTGCTGCTTTTAGATAATGCTATGAGAAGCTACGCTGTTTCGAAAAATTCTACAGCGACGCAAAATTAAGCCCCCCCCCCCCTCTGAGGGAGCGACGATGTTGTCTTTCATAGACTTATTTTACTGAGCAGTGGCAATAAATACGGTGCAAAACTGCAATGGAGATCGATCCACTTTGCCAAAATTTTGATTTTTCTTGGTCTATCGTTAAGACGATCAGATGAAAAGCATCAGTAAATCTGCACGAAGAAGTACCTTTTTCAGTCCCGATAGTGTCTCCCAAGACCGTTTTATAACTTAATTGGCGGTGGATAATTCTATGATAACTAAAACGACATGTTTCCTCCATGTTTTTTGTTGTGTCTGAGTCTCTATTTATGCTGCCACTTTTTCGAGTGGTACGTTCCTCAAAGATAATACCTCATGTTTTCAAAAGGTACTCGAATTTTGATGCACTTCTATTGTGAAGTGGGGACGAGTAGCGTAGTGGTATGAGGCGCCGCTATGACCAGATCGGACACAGGCGCCCCTGGGCCAACCAAGCCCTTTACTCTCCGGGGCCGGTAAATTGGTAATGGGAGGATAAAAGCACTGACTTTGTAAACGGCTGGCCCCCGCAAGTCACTGTAATAGGCTCGCACGCATACAACTGTCTCTTCGACTATAAAGTTAGTATGTGCGTTCGGCGCATGCCCTCAGAGGGTATTGAAGACGCCGAATCTTTATCCTTTATCCTTTTTATTGTGAAGCAAGCACTAAACTTTTAGGTCCAAAACTGTTGCATCAAAGGAAACTTGGAAGATGTTCAAGATTGTCCGAAGAAATAACAACAAATGCATCAAGTCGATTATAAAATGCAAAAGACATGACTCAAATTTTTTTCAGAAAGAGTGAACTTTTAGCATTATTTACAATTGGTAATAGAATATTTGCTCTTAATTAGTTGCTGAGAACAACCTTCTAAGTTTTGCTCTTTGGAATACACCTCAATGAATGAGTTTTTGAAGAGGGAAGAATTTGCGATTTTTCAATACAAATACAAAATTGATGAAACAAATTGACAATATTAATTAGTTTATCAAAATCAATATTAGAAAACAAAATTTTATGAAAGAATAATGGGCAACCTAACAATGGCTAATACCTAAGTCATGTCAACGTATTTTTTGAGCAAGAATATCGTTTACACGCAATTTGAGTCAGGCTTTAAAAAATGATTTTCGAAGCTCTCATAAAAAAGGTAACATTTTGTGAACCGAGGTGCTCCGAAAGAAGCTAATTTTTCTGATTTCACTTCTAGACCCGTTGTAAACCTCTCTTCATCTCGTTGACATGAGATAAGCTATTCAGAAGAACTCTAAAGGATAAACTTAAGACCGCTCACTTCTAGTGCTTTAAGATAGTCAGTTGAACATTCAGCAGAGCCACGATCAATTCAACGTAATGCCACTTAGTCGAGGGTAGGGTTGAATCGAGAAAGATAGTGTACAAAAAAGGAAAATAAGACACAATTCGTAAAATGTTTGTGAGTAACTTACGGGACAATCTAGTCGAAGTTTTATTGCGGTGCAGAACTCTGAAAACTGCACAATTTCGGTGCCTAAATCGAGGGGATCAATAAACAGTTGACTGCAGCGATTGTTAAGAAAAAAGATTTTTTACATGTTTCCTGTACATGCTTGTTTTTCCAAGAAAACACTTCAAATGGAAAAATGTAAATTTATCTTCTTACACCTTTTTTGATTTGTCATTTTTCACAGGTATGCATGCAAAACTGTTGTGAATTTTTCAATCTATTAGTTTGCTAGGCGCAATCTTTGATAGCGATTATCATCGTTTTTCGATAGAGCAAAGATTTGCGCGGTAGTGCAGCGAATTCCTTGTACCAGCGCATCTCGAACCACGACCTTGAACGCTCAGTCCCAATCACTTAATCGTTTGACCAAACCTGCTCAAGTGGTCGTTTTTTTCTGAAAACATGCTCAGTTATCATGTCTGAAAGGCATTCCGCATTTAGACCGATTGTTTAGTAGATGCCGAACTGAGGCATCTCACATTCAACGCAGCCTGCCCATACCAAGTTGCGCTGAACAGGGCTTTACTACGGGTCCTAGTCTCTTTTCATACACCGACTCTTCTGACTTAGTAGTTGTAAATTGTTGGCGAGCGCGGCGAAGGACTTAGCGAGAGCGGTCTAATAGCAGGTATGCTCGTAGAGTATTCGAGAGGTTTCTGCTGTGCAATACGCCCAGTCTGGAATGATGTCGAAATGATTTCGGGACTATGATGTGAGTCAGTGGCGTACCGAGGGGGGGGGGGGGGCGCCCCACCCGAGAATAGGTCGTGAAATTTTTGAAAGTTACTTACATGAGTTATAAAAATGTGCAAAAGGCTTATTTATACTTGTAAGTAATTAAAATAATTTAAATTTTTAAAAAATCAATTTAGCCTTATAAAAAAATTTTTTTCGGGGGCGTGGCTAACACCACGCCCCCTTTTTCTGAAATTTCGGGGTCCTGAGCCTCCGAAAATTTTAGGAAGCATACCAAAAATTTTTTCGGAGTGCGTGGCTGACGCCACGCACCTTCATAGAAAAAAATTTTTGTCGCGCCCCCCCCCCCCCCCCCGAGCCGAAATCCTGGGTACGCCACTGATGTGAGTGCCACATATTTGAAGCGATGCCATCGCTGAGAGTTCATGCTAAAGATTATGTGCTGTGAGCATCGCTCCGAATATGTGGTAATTACGCGAAGAGCCATCCATCTTTCTCGTGGAGGGATTAGTGCCGGTTGGTCGTTAGCTCACCTGGGACGAGAAGAGAAGCATCCAAAGCAACCAGAGTCATAAACAACATGAAGGGTGGAAGAAACGCATTGTTTTCAATAAGCTCCGATGTCTTTCGCAGAAGAATCTGAAGTCCAAAAAATACCCTGGAAAATGACAAGAAAAGCACCTCAATCTTGAGAGAATAAACACTGGTTGGTCAACGCCATAAAGACAAAGTTTGTGGGGGTGGGAGGGGGGGGCATGAAAAGGGAATCGCAATGATGACGACACGCCTTCGAAACGGAACATACATTGCTACCTTTGCTAAAATTTTGTCACTTTGTTGCTTATGAAAAGTTTGCGAACTTATGAAACGACATAATAGATGGCTAGGCATGTTTATGAGGTGCTCTGATGGAGAAGCGCAGTTGCGTACGTCGCGCAGTGTGACGCAACCCCTCCTCGCCAGTGGTTACAGCGCTAACCAAGGCCACAGGGTCCTGCAAAAATTGCAATTTTACGGACCCCGCGTGCAACTTGTTCAACGATCCGGAAATGCTTCATTTCAACAATTTCACACCTTTCAATGTTGATTTACAAACAGCGCGTCAACGAAACCTCGAGAAGTTGCTGTTGTGGTTGAGATAAACAAACTTTATCGCTGCCATAGAAAAAAAGTGAGAGCTAAGGTGGACAGCATAGCAGTTATCTGCATGTTTCTCGTATAGGCCGTCCGCGCAGGGCGCGGAGAGTGCGCAAGTTGTGTACTGCGCGTCACTCGTCTTTCCTCGTACGCTTTCGCCATCTGTTTTTCTCTGCGCTTCTTCCAGTCGTGAACTGCCTTCGATGTACGCAACAGCCTTGCTCTCCGCGCGCAGCGCGGACGGCCTATACCAATGCGCATGTTTTTCTTTAGACAAGCGCAGTCAAAATGAATTCGTAGAACTTGTGAAATTTGTAAAACACAACATCAATGCAATAAGCACGGCTCGTCGAGCACTACTCATCAATGCAACATCCTGGGTTTGTTTCATTTCAAACTCAAGTCATGCCGGCCCGATCCTGACAGAGCCATTTTCAGCAAAATAAATCATATACTTGCTCTGGTTACTAAAACCTTGAATTTTCTACAACAGTATTACACTGTGCGCTGGATGATCGCGTTTAGAGCAATGGAAACGTGTTTTTGCTTCAGAACTTTTAGCGACGAAGCCGAAGTAGTGTACGAACAGCATGAACGTAACAAACTCAACAAATCTACCCCTCATCAACTACGCGGAAGCTGCATTGATAGTCTCAGTAAGTTTTGTATATGTTACCCTTTTGCTGTTTGACTGATTTCGCAGCATCTAAATTTTGGAGCAGGATGCACTCATGAGTGAGGCAAAAAAAAACTTCCAATGGTGAAAAAGTACATGTATCAGGTACTTTCTCTAAGCGCAATAAAGTTACTGCAAAGACCAAACCTTTATCTAGACAACACAGACTTTTGTGTTATTCTAGTCACCAAAAAAATTTTCTACCCAAAAATCGTCGAAAATCACTTCTGAAAGCTCTGTTTTGAAAAAGCATGATTAACTCTTAAATGTACCAGAATGAAGAGTGTAGCTTGATTTTACAAAAAAAACAATTGATGAATGAACAAACAACAACAAATGATTTTACAAAACAGAGCCTTCAGAAGTGATTTTCGACGATTTTTGGGTAGAAAATTTTTTTGGTGACTAGAATAACACAAAAGTCTGTGTTGTCTAGATAAAGGTTTGGTCTTTGCAGTAAGAGATTTTTTGCGAGAGATTTTTGTCAAACAATCGAGAGCTTCCAGTTTTTCCGGCGTTGTAGAAAGGGAAAAAAAGTGCGCTTAGTCTTTAATCTTTTTTCTCATGGAAAATGAAATTCCGCCGTTATCCTATCATTAGTTCGAAAAGTTTGGCTATTACCATTCCAGTTGTTTTTGAGAAAAGATGAAAAACGGAAAGAACTCTGAATAACCTATTATGTGCTAAAATTGGCCCTCCGGGGAGACGCTAAGACCGCTGGAAGGATGAAAATCAACTCCTAGAAAATTACAAATCTAATGTCTTTGCAGAAGACATTGTTTGACAATTGCGGTCATGATAAGTTTGTCTTTGTTGAAGAATCCAGCCTTCATTATGTTTAAATCCTGTGCAGCGACGAAAGAGGATGAACCTTTGTTGTAAAGACAAAATCGGAGGCGTCCTCTTTTAAAATATTTTTTTGCCAAATGCCATATAAACTGACATTTGGAACTTCGATCCGTACAACGACAACGACAACAGCAACAACAACAACAACAACAACAACAACAACAACAACAACAACAACAACACAACAACAACACAACATACGTTCACAAATGGAACATGATGCTATTCTCATTCAGAATCACTATATGCTCCTATTTTATGTTATAAACACTTTTTCCAATCAAATGTTGATCTTTCATGTAACACGGGCAGTGAAGATGCCTTTCACATAGGTGCTAAGAAAAAACTTGTGTTTTGATAAAACCGCGTGTAAGAATATCTTGCTTATGTTTTTTCCTTCGCTCATACGCAATATCTCTTCATACGAACTCCTTTTACGACCCCCTTGCGACCGTGCCTAAGTTCAAATCTGGTTAAAGGCACTGTATACTTGTGACGTTGCACCGCCGACGTCATCGCGAAGCAAACGCAAATACTATCTTTTTCTCTATTGTCACGAGAAGATTTCCTTAAGTTTTGAATAATACATAAGTTGCTTGTTTTTGCACTTATGTGAGGTAACTTTTTATATCTTATCAATCGCCTATAGGTCTTCGTCGTGGGATTCCTAACCAACTTAACATCATTTGTAGTAATTATTAGACACAAGTCTTTTTACAATTCCTTTGGCTACATAATCGCTTATAACGCCCTTGCAAATGTGTTTATTCTTTTGATTTTTGTTACATGGGCTACACCTTGGACTCTATTGTGAGTTTCAATAAACACTTGCTCTTATAACCGATAATATCATTAGATATTACAGCGCCGTTCCCGAAAGCGTGCGAGGGGCAAATTTGTTTTTTGGTCAAACAGCTTTATTTTTTCAAGAAGCCGGCTACCACGGCAATTTCCTCCTCTCCATTAACAGGTATTCACGCTTCATAATAACGCTGATTTGTGTTTCATGTTAACTAACATCGCAACGCTTTGCATTGCTTCTACAGTCTTTTTTAATCTGGAGTAGGCTAAACATCCCAAGTGGGGCAGCGCACCCGCACCGCCACTGCCACAGCGTGGTAGATTAGAAAAGAGAGACGCAGACTGCAAAGAGGCCAATGCGAACCAGATTTCCGCCAGTCTTCCCACCTAAACTGAGTTGAAACATCCAACAGTAACAACGCAAAACTTGAAGGTGTAGGAGTCGTCAAATTCAAATGATTGATTGGCTAAGTACGGCCTGTAACTGATCACGATTGAGAAACTCTATCCGTTTTTTACACACTATACGTGCTAGGTTTGTGCAAAAGTTATGCGCGCTTTGTTAGTCCTTGTCTCAAAACAACTTTTTTCCATCAAACTTTCTTCTTTGGTAAATTTAGCAACATTTTTAAGAAGCCCCTTTCATGCTCCACCCAATAATGTAGAACTTCTGGTCTGATTCGTGTTTATATAGCTTTACACAACCGCATTTGAAAGGCAATCGTCAGCGCCTAACTCATTTCTGTAAACGTAAAGCTTTGGGCATATCTCACTCGCAGTGCTACGCGATTAGGCAGTATTCCAATCGTTCATAATCCATCGCAAGGCTGAATGTACGGAAGACAGGCATTTTATCAACCTACGAGTTAACATGCTGCGCATTCGGAGTCTGCCAGTATTCAATTTGAAGACATTTGACAAATTTCCAAATCGCGTGACGACTGAAATCGCCTAAGTATGCCCACGGTTTGGGGGTAGGCCTCTTGTTAACAGCTCTTGCAAATATGTTTAGCTGTTTATTAGCAGAAAATCAAAAAATCCATATTTTGGGACCTTGAGGCCTATGAAAAAAAGGTGAAAAAAGCCGACAAATTTGGATCCTAATTTTTTTCCTTTTCGCAAGTCTTCTTTCTGAGCTCTTTTCATCTGTTACTGCATTATGGCTTGCGGCTACAAGACAGGTACTTGTCATTTATGGCGCCATCTAAATCTACTTAACCGGCTGCGCGGGCGGTCGCGCGCGTGCCATCACTGCGTGCCGGGACCAGCGTCGGCTTCCTGCTAGCATTAATGCTTGATGGTGAGGAATCAATTGATGGTGAGGAACCGAGAAACTGTTGCAATGTCTAGCAGGTGCGCCTTCGCTGTTTGTCTAAGTTATGGGCGTGCCGACTTTGAGACTGTATGTATGATTTTTGGTGATAGGATGTTGAAAGTTTTCTCCCCATTAAGGTATACACCTACATTTTTCACATCGTTATTCCACTTAAAACGTTTTGATATCAATCATACGTATATCTAGTCATAAACTTGCTAGAGACAAGGCAGTATGGAAGTTTGTGAGAACATGAGGATCAGTACGCGACATCGCCCTGTTTCTGCTTAACCCTTAATGTTTTTCGAAAAGTTTGAGAATGTGAAATTTGCTCACTTGTTTCTTTTCTCTTCGATGCAGCATTATTTGTAAAGCTAGTTTTAAATGCCAAAATTAACCGTATCCGACATGCTCGTCACTCAGTATTGTAGCCCAATTTTGCATTTTTTTGTTCAATAGAATCACGTTGAGAAAGAAAAAACTAGGATAGGAGACTTGACAACATCATGTTGTCTGACAAGGTAAATTTCTTCTTTCTAAGCCAAACAGTCAGTCATTCAAGACGAGGTAGCATGGAATCGACTGTGTAATAGTTATTCCAGAATCTTCAAATCTACGATGAATGATAATATTCTCACGAAGACTCACTGACCGTGTGAAGGCCAAAGCTTAAGAAGAATTAAGGATAGATACTAATTGACCCAGAACTTTTTATATCAGTTTTCATCATGCAAGAGAACATGTTCTGACGAAACTTGGTATACAAATGATGTTGTACTGCATGCAGAGTTTTCGCAGCTCCTACTCAGAACAGTGGAAGATTCCAATTGCAACTTCCATTTCCCTGAATTAGTGGTACATTCCACGAAAACGGTCAGGAGTGCGGTGCTGATCTTGTTTTGGAGAGATTTTGTTCTTTGAAGGAAGAAAGTATCATATTGCGAGTATTTTAGTGCGCACCTGTTTTATGCAGTTTCCCACCCTCTCTACCTGAAAAAGTTTCATGCCAATAGCAATGAAGCTATTGAGCAACAAATAATCATCGTACCGAAGCCAAAATCCCTTATCCATCGCAACAGCTCCTCAAACACCAAGTAGGCAAGCCAAGCACTTGGTCCCGGCACGCAGCGATGGCGCACGGGCGACCGCCCGCGCAGCCGGTTAAGTAGATTTAGATGGCGCCGTCATTTATATCAACAAATTCAAAGAGAGTCATAATCAGTGAATGCGATTTGGAAAAAAGACTTCTTTGCTTAACAAAAATTTTCAGCCCGCTTGTGTTATGCGTATAGATGAATGTGCGCTGTATTGCGAAAGGTTTGCTGTCTCTAATGTCTTTATCGCACCGAAAAATTTAGATTTTTTGAAAAGTTGTATAACGTCAAGTTGAGAACTGCAAAACGCACATCACTTTTGCGCCAACCTGGTGATTGCTTGAAAGTGTCTTGCAATCTACTGATAGGTAAAACTTTGATGGCAGCTAATAGAGACAAAACTAAAAGTTCCAAAGCTTTAGCCGCATACTTTTGTAACGTGATTAAGGTTTGTTGCTATTACCTTTCCACTGCAATATCGCATATGGTTTACAAGAAAATCCACTCTCATTATGCTGTTATGCACAACTGGCTTAACGCTAACATATTGGACAATCTTTTTTATAGGTATGATTTTTTTCTTATCTCAGCTCTTTCCACTTCCTGCTCCCTATTATAAAATTCATATTCAGAAACTTGCGACTTTTATTACGACCATGACCAGCGCGTTTGGAAATTTGGTAATTCTCCGTGCAGTGTATTTCTAGGAACGTATGTAGATGTATGCTACAACATATTTCTGTTTGTAGTTATAGCTATTTTCGATTCATTCACTCTTATCCGATTGCAAGTTTTGAAAAAGGTTGTCAAGTGACGTAGGGAAAAGATGGTTGAAAACTCACAAATTTAGACATCATTAGCTCGCAAAGGCTGCACGGCTTTCGAATCGGAAGAAATGAGGCGTCATCATAAGAAAGAAGTAAACCTTTTTGTGCAGGTGGTGTTTATGTGTCAACATAAAAGCCAAAGCAACTGAAATGAATCTTCCAGGCATTTATGACATCAGTTGTGCACTCTCTCATATTACTATCTTTCAATTTGACTTCAATTTACGTGTCTGAAGGAATCTTTTTATTCCTTGGCACAACGTTTGTGTGGGAATTATCGTACGCTTTTGCAGGGTAAGTCGCAAGTTGAGGAGTCAAATAAATTGATGGCCATTCTTCACTGAACTGGTAAAAATAATACCGAGGTCTGAAGAACACACGTCCGAAATCGGGCTTCAGAGTAGATACCAATGTCGCAACTTTGATGACCATAATGAAGGCACGTTTATGACAGTTCTGGATCCACCTTGACCTTATGTGTCTAGAATTGTCACAGGCAATTCACATTGATGAGCGGAGTCAGCCTGGCCGCTCCCACCTTTTAGAGCGTTTTTTTTTCGCTTAGAAATTTATTTCTTGCAGCAAAACTTGGCCGATTGCTTAGCCAAGGGCCCAGCTTTTCATGTAGCATCAGAATCCATGATCAATCGGGCGGACAATGCTTCCAATCCATACACTCTTACAATCGCTGAATGTCTGCTTACATGTGTGTATGTTTGTGAGTGTCTGTGTGTCTGTCTGTACGTATGTTCCGAATAGAAATTTTTATTTCTGAACCGATCCGGACCAAAATTGGTACACATATACTTGAAGGGGGGCGGGTGTCATAGGCTACTTTTTGTCATCGATCGATATCGATTCCTGGAGCATGCTGATTACTAACACAGCGGAATTAGGAATGAGTAGAAGTGGGCACGGGGAGAAGTTGTACAGGGTTAGGGATGGGACCTTTATCATAGTGTTTTGACAGGGCCGGGCGGAGCCGCTAATCCAGTTAGTGAATACTAATGGACAAATCAGTTGCGGGTCTGTTATCAAGGTCCGAAACAAATTATTAAAGGCAGTGGCTCGGCAATCTCAACCTAGTCAAATTTGCGCTTACCTAGTGTTAATCAATACGCTGATCCCGAAAATCCACTTTTGAAAGCGTGAAAACGGCGAAAATAAGTGCTTTTTAATGCCATTCTGGACGAGTGGAGCAAGGGCCGATGACGCTAAATCGTTGCAGGACCCAATGGTTATAGCGTTGCGGCGGGCAGCCTCCAACGGTGAGAAGGAAATTGCCAACTCGTCCAGATGCGTGTAAGATTGGCCTGCGCGTGTAAGTTCGAGAGCGATTTTCTCGGCAGGGAAAGCATGCTGTGCAACCAGGATTGCACTGTTTTCATACTTGGGCGATAAGGAACCTACCGCGTTAAAATCCTGAGTTGTTGGATTTTGCCGATCCACTGCCTTTGAGTTGAACTTTTGTTGAATGCATCCCTGAAACTGTAAATCTTTACACATTCTACTGAGCGCCAGTTGCACTGTGCTGTTGAATAAAGCGCTTTTCTTTCATAAAAATGTAAACGGATGTCCGCACTCAGGTTTTAAGTGACAATAATTTTCCAAACAATCAAAAGCATTTCAGGTGTGTGCTCATTTGGTTCAATCCAGAAATACAACGGCATCTCGGTTTGAGAGCATCCATTCGCCTTCTTTTCAACAATACAACCAGTAGGATGTTCCAAATGACGTCGTCGAGAAACTGAATTGACTCATTTTTTTTCCACAATGCTATTGTTTTGCGTCAATGACGTATACTTGCAGACAATTATTTTAATCTGCTGATTTGAAATAAAGGTTATTACTTGTTAGTGAATCACACCGAAATTCTTAATGGCTATTATCTAAAGCCAATGAATACAAAAATTGCACAGACATGCAAGGATGCTCAGAATAATTTGTTCTAAGAAACTGCGACAACTGGCTATAACTTTTGTTACCTATAAGTCTTTCAAACTTTTGTTTGTCCTTATGGTAGCGATGTGAGAAGAAGCTGAAAGAGGCCTTTCGCCAAGCACGCATGGTTTCGCCCATTCGCTTTGTTGCTTCCTTTTCAAATTCGCATAAAAGAAATAGGCTTATGCTTGCGAACCCTTGCTGCTTCTGAATTTGTATCTGCTTTAGCTATTGGAGCCGCCAATAGACTATTTCGTCTCTTTGTTTCTTTTTGCACTAACCACGTTCGTCAGGAGCATCTTTGAATGCATCAAATGAAATGAAATAAGTTCCTATGAAATGTGAAGACTGCAGCATACTTTTCAAAGGTTATCGTATGCTCATATTATTGTCCGGTATTTAATGTCCGTTTTGAATTTGAACCGCATTAACTCACACTTTTCATTTTGGATAGATTTCAAAGCACCATTCGAAAGAGCAAAGCAAGCAGCAAGCAAGCATCTACAAGATGGCAGTCTTGGTATTGCACCAGCACTGATCCACCTCGAGTTCAAGCCAAAAACTAAGAAGATTCAGCCCTAAAAATCGTGAAAAATCGTGACTCAGTCCACAAAAATCCTGCAAAAATCCTAACTTGTTCACGTAAGACATCTATATGCGCCGTTGCATATTTTTTCGGTTAAAAATATCAAGAAAACGAAGATTTTCATGCTTTTGCCAAAGCGATGCTGTCCGTTCGCACATATGTAATTGTATGCAAACCTGTAGAATTGTAAACGTAAAATTTGAGATTCCTATAAGCTTCGAGAATATCGAATATAAAGAGCTTCCTGTAATCGGATAATCTAAGCTAAAATTCGAATTTTTCGACTAGAGCTTGTGGAGAGCTGAAAATTCAAGTTTGTATTTCTGCAGAGTTAGATACAATTACCCTAATTTCACGCGTACAAGGCGCGGGGTGATCCTAGCTTTCAGCGACCAGCCCGAACACGGCAAAGGACTTCGCAATCAAAGGAACCCCATACTGTGCTGCGTTTTGCCTGACGAATCGTGCGGCATAAGGATTGCTTCTTAAAACACGTTGGGGCGGCTGAGCAGCTCGATGAAAGCTAGGACCACCACCCTGCGCCTTGTATGCGTGAAATTAGGGTACATATGTTCGAACAGCACAGTATCACGTTGTCAAAAACATGAAAATCTTCGTTTTCTTGATTTTTAGCCGGGAATATAGATGTCTTATGTAGATTGTTCACGTGAGCAAGTTAGAATTTTTGTAAGATTTTTATGGACTCAGATATGATTTTTCTCGATTTTTCGGGCAGTTGAATCTTTTTAGTTTTTGGCTTCAAATCCGAGGAGAATCAAAGCTGGTACAAAATTAAGATTGCCGTCTTGTAGAGAGCTTGCCTTGCTCTGTCGAATGGTGTTCTAAACCTATTTAGAATTGGGAGGTGTGATTTTTTGCTGTTCAAATTAACAGACATTAATTTCTGGACAACCTAATAGGATAGCTAATGAACTATTTGTTAGTACTGATTTACATGACCGGATGCATGAGATGTGGACTGTTTGGGTTGGTATAAACAGTTGCATCTTATGTTGCTTAATGTCTCTGATGGTTAGTCATCTGTAGGAAAAAAGGTCCCAATTTGTTGACCTTCCGTTATCTCTGCTATAGTCTATTTACAACAGTTTTTGATGGTAATGATTATTGCAAAAGATTACTTCCTTTTCCTCTGTTTTAATCAACTGGATCAAATAAAATTTTTAGGTAGTGTTAGTAGCGATAAATTTGTTGCCTATAGAGGTGATAGATTGTGGAGTTCTGAAGTTGATCCAAAGTTGTATCAAACTCCAGTCGTTATCGACTTCAGTACAGCTCAATTAAATTGAAAAAACGAATTTAACTAGTGACAATCACTAAAAAGATTGCAAAATTTCAATGAACCAAATTGTATCCATAAGGTGAAATCAGCTTTGAAACTTGGGTATTGGTGTCATCCTGTAGAAACTAATTTTATTTTTTCGTCATCGCAACAACCATCATCAATCGGCAATTTTGAAATATTCTATACAAAATAAGGACAAGTGGCGTAGTAGTACGAGGCATCGATATGACCAGATCGGATCCAGGCGCCCTTGGGCCAACCAAGTCCTCTACCCTCCAGGGCCGGTAATGGTACCAGAGCTATCTGACAAGGATAGAGGATAAAGGATAGGATATAGGATAGGTGAGAGGATAAAAGCACTGACTTGGTAATCGGCTGGCCCCAAGTCACTGTAAAAGTCTCAAACGCATTCAGTACCTTCTTCGACAAATAAGTAAAGTGCGTCATACCCGCAGAGGTTATTGAAGACGCCAAATACTCTATCCTTTATCTTATACAAAATGGCACTTTTGATATAACAGTCCGGTATTACAGCCAAATGGAATGAATGTTTATGGTAGTGTAAAATGAGAACATCTTATGGTAATTGATAGCTTAAGGTGGGTTTAGCGGCTCTCTCGACGCTGGGGCAAGTGCGTCGTTCATTTTCAAATCGACTTTGAACTTTGAACTGTCTAGCTTTCCTTGGTCACCGAAATAGCTGATTCAGCTCATTATGAGATTTAGCTTTAAGAGAAGAGAACAACAGGATACATCCCCAACATTACGGCTTTGGAAAGCTTGACTGTTGGAAGCTAGCTCCTCCTTCTCAGTAGTTGGCAAACTCTCGTAAAGCTGCTTCTATAAGTTTCGGTTCATCAAAGTTTCAATCGATGCGTCCCGCGGCTCCTGAGAAAATGTCAGAAAGCCAATATTTGAGATTTCTGCCTTGTAAAAACTTTGAATTTTTTAGAGATGGGGCAGAGTGCTTGTGAGCTAAGCCTCAAAATGAGGGGAATACGAGCACAATTTTCCACAAAATGTTTATTTGCGTTGGTGAGCAAAACTAAAGCAGAAGACTTTTAGTCCACATCCACGGTTGTTCTTTCTACAGCGATCGCTGTTTTGATATGCGTAATACATTCCTCGCAACCTTGAGGATGATAACCCTTCTGTTAGCGCATAATCATAATCACCGCATTATCTTACGTACGATAGCTTTCGTAAATTTTGAAAAAAAAAACGCAAAGTCGCCCGATTCATGTGGCGTCACCCCAGCGTGGACGAATTCTTACTTCAAGGGCACTATTCAACTCAGCTCAACGCGGCGCATCTTCAGATATATAGAAGTGCCCTTTTGGACATAGTAGGAGATCAGATTCCACGAGTCTTTTCAGATTTTTGCGTATGGTAGGTTACGCAGTGTGTATTCATTGCACTCACTGGACAACTTACTGTAAACAAAAATCTGCAAGGATCTTTGAAATCTGGCCTCCTACTGTGCCCAACCGAAACTTCCCTATATCAGAAGATGCGCCGCGCGGAGCTGAGTCGAATGGTTCCTTAGAATCAAAATCTCCACTCTGAAGCGAGATATGGCCACTCTACGGTGATGTCACATGAATCGGGCGACTTTGCGTCGTTTTTTTCCAGAGAATGAGAGCGGTATAGTGTATACTTCCCATTGTATCGAAAATGATATAGAATGAAATATCTCTCTTATCTTGATAGTTTGCGAAGCAAATAATCAAATTGATCCTGATATTTGGATGTTTTTGTTCTTTGAAGACATTAAAGACCAAATATTGGTAGTGAAATTATTCAGAATGCGCAGAATATTTCTTCTTTTTCTTTCAAGAAGGATTTCGTGGCTAGTCTACCACCCCCATTACCAGCTCTGCACTTGTGTCTGTAATACGCTTGAAATTCTATCTAATTGCATCGTAGGTGAAAGTCCACCCCCGTAAGGAGTAGAGGTTTCTTATAAGTGATTAGTAGTGCTGAAGGGCACTAGCTCTTGTCGTCTGCTTCCTCAGAGAAAAACAAGAAGGGATCCACTAAGCAGACTATTTAATTGGTTGTAACTCTATACAGCACAATGAGTGCATGTCTTTGAGCGAACGAAACTCCAACTCTCTGCATTACATACGGCTTGTTTAGGGAGGAATCTTGCCAAAGTTTTTGTTGGATGAGCAAGTATGTTCCACATCTTATTTTTGTATCTTTGCATGAGGAAATTAGGTCGTCTTAAAGTGACTGCCTTTCTGAGATAAAGAGCTCAAATTCGAAGAAATGAGCAATGTACCTTGCGTTTCAGCCAATATTAGCATTCTATAGAAACATTATCATGATACTTAACGATGATTCATGATCAACCATATTCACCGTACTCAAAATTAGTACCTCAAATTTTTGCTTTTTCAAAGAAGACTAGTTCAAGGTCATAAGCAATGCCTACCGGCGGGAGTACCAGTGTCTTTCCGGTACTTCCGTACTGTTGCCGGGGCAGTACGAAGTACCGGACATACAGTATTAAACTTTGCCATCTTCAAAAGCTATGTGTCGTGCAAGAATTTCGATGTTGACGTAAATGCATCAGATATAATAATGCTTTTTGATCTGTTTCAGATGAAAACTTTTAAAGGTGGTAGCTGCATTTGATTTCACCTTGGCTTTTTTACATTAAGAAAATTAGAAAATGAGACTTCAAAAGGAGAGGCTAACTACTTGTGTACCGATAAAGAACGAGTTCGGATATAATTGCATTGCTGTTTCGCAACGAAGCTTTTAGAATGAGCACAAAATTCATTTATGCTGCTTGAATTACCCTAAAATCCCTCAAATGAGCTTCCTCGCAGATAAACAATAAAGATAAGTCCGAAGCAGATAAGGCCACTTCGTACTCATTTAAAAATATTCTAAGATGGTTCTATTGAATGAAA